CGCAGCCTGCTCCATCTGCATACCGCCTTGATACGACCGATCTTGGACTTCAGTGCCTTTATATTTGATGGCATTTCTTCGAGCAAAATTAACGCCCTGGAAACGATCCAGAACGCCGCTCCCCGCGTGGTCACTGGCGCCCTCCGAACCTCCCCGGTGTCCAGCCCGCTGGCGGATGCACACATACCACCACTCATACACCTACGCAAACAACAGCTTCTCAAATTTAACGCGCGGGTAGCTGCCAGACCCGCACAGCCCACTTTCAAATCACTACGGGAAGGGATTTCCTCCGGCGCACGATTCGAATCAGCGGAATGGCGCGTGAGTGTATACATGGGCCGGATAGTTCGGATCGAGGACGGGTCCCGGCTTAATTCGAATCACAGCTGCCCATGTAAACAGGGTAACTAACTGCACCCACTTCACAACGCAGCGAGTACCTCACGATCAGCACCCGCGGAACACAAGCACAACGCCTATTCCAACGGCCAAGCATTCACACGCTGCCCGTGCCTCCACTACGTCCGTTCTGGCTGGGACACCGCTGCAAAGATTCGGTTTCCATTAACGCACAAAAAAACCTACCGTTACAAATACGGAAGCCCAGTCCCTGTTTGCGGAATTTCGCAATAAGCACAACCCATATACATACATCTATACTGATGGCTCCCGAGGCGATGGCCGCGCGGAAGCAGCATATATATGCAATCACTATACTAAAGCCAAACACCTCTCAGATCATCACACAGTATACACATCAGAATTAATGGCAATCTTTTTAGCACTTTGCCACGTTAAAAAAACATGCCATCAAACAAACTGTAATTTGCGCCGATTCCAGCTCTTCCCTGCACGCCATATCAGCTATGCACAATTCCTCGCACCTTTTGATTTACAAAATCCTCTCCACGCTATCATCACTGCCAGCGGAATCACACGTTGTCTTCCTCTGTGTACCAGACCATACGGACATCCAGGGGAACGACCTCGCTGACGCTGCCGCAAAAGAAAGCATCAACATGCCGGCCCGAAACCATCTTGCCTAGCTAGTATCCGACTATCTTACTGCCATAAACTCAACATATCGCTGGTTTTTACAACGTCAATGGGACGACCACGGCCGCCAACACACGCACAACATTTAGCCAACACTCTCACCCTGGAGCTCAGGCAACCAGAACACGCGCCTTAAGGAGATCCTTTTCGCTAGGCTGCGAGTAGGCCATACAAAACTAACTCACGCATACATCATGGAGCGCAACCCGCCACTACTCTGTCACTACGGCCACATACCATACACGATAGCACACTTCATGCTGGCGTGCCCAGTCTGCAGGCGCTGCCGTGAAAAACTCGTGCATTACACAAACAAACACAGACACCCATTGACGCCGCCTACCATACTAGGCAACACACATCCGGAACTCTTGGCGCTCCTCTTCAAATACCTACACAAAACCAATTTAGATAATTACAGACAACAGCATAAATGTTGCGAGGTTTTCACCTGCTCAATTTCCAACGAGCGGGTTTCATCATTGCCTTGAGGTTTTTTCCAGGCGCAATTCGGCTAAAACGTGCTGGTTTTCCTCGTTTGCAAAGTTTTTTCCAAGGACAATTCGGTATAAACGTGCCGGTTTTTGCCCGTGGGTTTAGGAATCCGGTTTTTTGTAGTTAGAACTTTTCTCGGATTACACTGCACAACACGATAAGGTCGCACCAGGCTACTCCCCCCATTCAGTGTGGGGGAGGGACACGGTTCAGGTCGCTGGCGGACTTGACCGCCGAGCCGGGGCCCGCCGTTTGCCGTGCGGGGAAACCTTTACTGCGATGAGGTGGTCGTCCGTCATCCAAACGTATTGTGATTGTTGAATACAATGAATGTGTGTGTGTGTCTCGTGTCTTACTTTGCATTTGGTACCGGACTAAATTAGCTGGTTTAACGTAGTTTGGAGCGCGTTTTTCCTGCATTGGCACCGGACAGCACTAGCCGGTTTAACGTAACGTAGCTTACCCCTGTGCCTTGCTTTGAACCGGATAGCAAAAGCTGGTTTAAGGTAGCTTTTTGCCTGGCGTTAAGCTCGAAGTGAGTTCTCCCAGCCCTGGCTATGACTAGGTCGCCGGGGAAAAAAAACCTCTCGTACCGGCGCAGCCGACAGCCAACCCTGCCACCTTGCGTCAAGTCTCCGAATCAGTTGGATATTGGTGCCGTGCGCAGCCGAGGCCCGCGCCATATACAAAGACGGTATCTGTCTACCATTCCAACCGCCCTTTCTATGTCATGGCGGCGCAAATTTCAGGCCGTTCTCTGTCTATCTCAGGCCAGCGATTGCAGACATTCTCCAAGTATAGGCCAATAACCAGCAGCCGCATTCCAGGCTCTTCGCAAATCAAGTTCCGCAAATTTGCACCACGGGCCAGCCGGCACCCGACCACACACCTGCAAGCGCAAATTGCAGTTGGCACCCGACAGTGTGATTTGGTACGCTTCCTTGCATGCCTTACATTCTCGACGAGCAGCCAATTGAGCAGCGTGGCTCGGCGCGGGATGTTGGGCTTGTAAAACGGTTACACGGGGTCCAAATACTAGGGTGTCGGTAGTTTTTTTGGAGCACCTTTTCTTCTGGCTCAAGCAGGAAATTTATCGTGTGCTTTCACGTATTGGAAGTATGTATCGTGAATTTTACCCATTGACAAGGAGTCGTTTTAAGCAAATGTAAAAGCCGTATTTATGCAAATATAAAAGCCGTTTTTTTGCAAGTGATTTTACCAACTGAAAAATTAGTTGGCATAAAAAACCTTTGACAATTCTTTCCTACCGTCCTTGTCCTGTCAGTGATCCTAGCAACCCTACTGACACAGTGACCTTTCATGGTTTCATTATGAACCCTTTCACTGTCATTTATCGGTTATTGTCATTTGCAGAGCGCCCTGACAAACGCAAGAGACCCTCTGATATTTAGGGTCCCACGTCCCCATTTCTGTTCATCAAAGCCCCTGGCCAGCTTCAGAGCCCCCGCCAACATGGGATCCTCTGTTAGACACCCTCGGCCTCTGGCTGATATAAAGAGCACAAATGGGCCTCGAACAATGCAAGAGGTGTTCAGAACAATCGCGGACCCGGCTTCGTTCCCGCCTGGGAAGTCGACCCCAGAGCCAACACTGACACAGAACTGCCTTAGTATTGGCGGAATATGACCGTGCTCATCGTTCCAGTCTCCCCCCCCCCTTCCCCCTATATCGGCGAAAGAGGCCCTTCGAACAACGCTTTAGGCCCTGCCCTGTGAACCGGAGCCCCCAAATATTACTTGCGGCTTTACGTCGCACCGACTGCAAGGGACGAAACTCATTTTAAGCTCAGTTCGAACTCATTTCAGTCGTATCGTCAGCAGGCCCCGACCGTGCAACTCATGAGAGGGGGAGAGGACAAGCAGGGCCCAAGCTTTGCTGTTTTGCTTCGCTTCTGCGAGATTTAGACGTGGCTGCTTATGCCGGGGGCCAAGTCATTGATTCTTACGGCATGTCAGGAAATTTTCAAAACCGTTCGAATTTTCCCGTTCTAACCGAAGATATTTCGCGATTTTACTCTCAGGATCTTACCGGGTTAAATGTGCGTACATTTAAGATGTGTGCACAAATACACATAGACGATGTAAAAGCGACAACAGCAAACTGCATTCCTGTACCGGGAGCTGTCGCGAGCGAAGGTGGATAAAGTGCTTCATCTGCATCTAGCATCCTGGCTCTTTTCGGGACCGCTATTACCATACGTCGTATAAGTCACCAACACAGGAGATGCAATCAAAAAGACGTCACACGGAATAGAATCAACTGATTCAGGGCAAAGTTTGAGCTCAGTTGCTCTCTGAATCAAAACAACCGGATGAGAGCCGCACAACCATGGAACACAGACTGCTTCTGAACCGTAATGTTGGTGTGCTTGAACCTATGCCCTGTGGGCTTTAAGACTTATGTTAAGCTGTGGAGACAGATTCTGTTTACCCCAGAGATCTGGAGAATCCTTCTCCAATTTGAGGGACACAAGTGGAATGCACAGGAGCAGCATATATGTATACCAAGTTAAAAACCGAAATGAACATGTTAGCAGTGCCAGTGCGGATAGAAATATTTTGGGGGATCAAAATATACATTGTCTTGGGTTATTTGGTTAGAATGAATATCACTTAAGTTATTTGCAAGACAATCTGTGATGCATACGTTTTTGCAAAGGGGCAGATTCAGAGGAGCAATATGGAGCAGGGACTACTAGCGTCATCTTTCTTCTAAAACTGCACATAGTGCCACACCTGACTAAAAGGCGACCGACAGCACTGGTTTTGGGTCCGGTCGCTGGCTGCCGGCGGGGTCAGTCCGGTGATCTTTTGTATTCTCATTCGAAGAATCCCGGTCCTGACTAAAAGGCAACCGACAGCACTGCTTTTGGGTCCGGTCGCTGGCTGTCGGTGTGGTTAGTCCGGTGGTCTTTTGTTTTCTCATTCAAAGAATCCCGGTTCGGATTGATCTAGTGAGTGTATTGTTTTCAAGTTCAGAAAGTAGTGCGTTTTGCCTCTTCATACCATTGCAGCTGTGAATATATACGCATGTGTTACAAGCTGACTATTTCGGTTGCGAACTACACAAAAATTGAAAAATCCACTTTAAAGTTCGACCTGGTAAGTCATGCAACTTGAGCTGTTCGCCACGGATATCGCTGTGCCCGAGCGCAGCATCTGCAAGAGCCGCTCCCCACGGCACCCACTTGACTCCGGCGAAATTGAGCCCATTGTCGCGCAGCAGGGGCGTCTCTGGGAGCGTTGCCATTGATTCCCGGGATCATCAGTCACTGGCGCCGGCGCTGCGGCGCCCTCTGCGCCGCACGCTAGGTCGTCTGTCGCCCGACCCGCTTCGGCCGAGCTGTCCGGAGCGAGTGGCGCCGGAGAGGCGGCGCGCTCGCCCTGGCGCCGCTGCGCCAGCCGGCGCTCATTCACACGCACCAGTCTAGTTGGCAGCGCTCTATTGAATCAACGGTTCCGGCGCGGCAATTATCCAATAGGGCCAAACGAGTCACTTGGTGGGATGACAGGAGTGGGAGCTGTCCCGCTGAAACAAAAAAAAAACGTCCCCGCACGCACTACACGGCGAGGCGGCGAGACGAGAATATGGAGCGGCACCGCCAAGCTCAAACGGGCCGGCCATCTGTTCAGCGCGCCGCGGAGAGGACGAACACCGCTGCCAGCGCCGTGCCATCTGCATCCGTCGCAGCCGATCGAGTTACCACGAGTTAACGTCCACGCACGACAACTATGCCTGAAACTAGAAAACTACGCAAAACACGAATACCACTTCAGCTCTGAGGGACAGCGGGGCGAGGGCCGAGCGCCGCTACAGCTGAAGAGCGGCTCCCAGTCGGTGGGATGTCGAAACAGTACACGCAGCTGATGGGCTTTCTCTGCGTGCCCACCGAGCACTACCGAGCGCCGCGTCGGCCGACAGAAGCCGCGCCGCGTCACATTTGTACACCGCCGCGGCAGAGGTGGCGCAGGCCGGCTCGCGCGCGAGGACGCACACCTCACATGGCCGTGGCCTCGATGCCGTTCTCGCCCATGTCGGCCTTAGCGGGCATCATGTCGGTGGCGGGCGGGATCTTGGCCAGCTCGTGCTTGCTCAGGTGGTTGACGATACCGGCGCCCAGAGAGTCGCCCAGCACGTTGATGGTCGTACGGAACCGGTCCCTGATGGGCGGGCGTCAACAGCGTCAGTCACCAGAGGAGGCTGCCAATGGCACAGTCGATACGACTCGGAAACGACCAACGGTCCTCTCAGGACGACGCATCCCGGACAGATGTCCGCTCGAGACGACGCATCTCGGACAGATGTCCGCTCGAGACGACGCATCTCGGACAAATGGCCCGTTCTCGGCGACATGTGACGAGATCGATACTCAGCGTTATGAGCTGGCTGGCAAGAATGGTAAAGCCAGCTACTGCTGACTGTTTACCTCACTAGCTTACTAGCTGCCTTATCACGCGGCAGACCAGGAGCACTGCTCCCCAGCCGCGAATCGTGAGGCATGTGAGCGCGGGGCGGGGCCGGTGCGGCTGGGGTCCGAGCACGGCACGTCACGTACGTCACGCCACGTCACGTCACGTACAGCAGCCAGTCGATGGCGATGATGAGCGAGACGTCCTCAGCTGGCAGGCCGACCGTGTCCAGCACCATCACCATGGTAACCAGGCCCGCCTGCGGGATGCCGGCGGCGCCGATGCTGGCCGCCGTCGCCGTGATGCTGCAATGCAGGACAGCACGCCTCAGGCCAGCTCCCGGGACGGCGGGCTGGTCCGGGAGCATCGCACGCAATGCGGGACACGCCTAGTCCGGGAGCATCACAGTCTGGTCCGAGAGCATTGCGCCCTGGTCCGGGAGCATCGCAGTCTGGTCCGGGAGCATCGCAGTCTGGTTCGGGAGCATCGCGGTCTGGTCCGGGAGCATGAAAGGCAATGTGGGACATGTCCGTGCCAGACGCCGGGGCGGCATGGGTCCCAAAACATGGACCAAGTCCCTGTGCAGAGCATGTGATGCTCACAGAACCTGGGTCCTAGCTCGGTTGCTAGGATCTTGAGCCCGAGTCCGAGTTTGTCCGGCTTCATCGCACATACGTTCGAGTCCTAGAATGGTGGATCCTGATTGGAGACGGAATTTCCGATCCTTGGCGCCATATTCGAGTCAATCATTTTTTATGGGACTTCGCATTAGGCGAGATCATAAGACCATGAACGATATGCATTGTCAATCAGACTTTGCTGGGCGTAGAAACTGTCAGAGATCGCATACTAGCCTAATGTCACCTCACCCAACCTTTCAAACACCCCGAAGTCACGCCCATGGTGAGGTGGAAGAAGATATCACTTTATGGAAGGGAGAGGGCCAAAGCCAAAGTGACCTTTGCCAACTAAAGCACTATTAAGACCTAACAAATCCAAAATAATGTAAGTATTACTCGGCCCAAACGAATATAAAATAATATTAGCATAACTCAGCCCAAGCGAATACGAAATATAAAACGTTATTCCTTTTGCGAGCCCTCCTGCGAGCCCAATTTGCCCTGCACTTCCCAAACAAATATATAATAAATCTAAATGGAAATCTGATCTAATCTAAATATAATTCCATCTAAATCTAACCTTATGTCTAATCTAACCTAAATATAATCTAAAATCTAATACTCTAACTCAAGGGTGCATCTTTCGCAGCATTTCTTTTTGTATTGCGATGTGCGTGCGCGCCGATGATCAAAAATACGATTTATCCGGGTCTGGTTGGTGTGAGGGATGCGACCTGAAGAGTCGCCAACGGAGGCCGGTCTCCTAGAGACGTCTCCCGAAGCGATTCTGTCAGGACAGCCTCGTACTCGTGTTCACACTCACATTAACATTCAAACACGGGCTGAAATAGAAAAAATATGATTTTTCTCTGAAATTTGTGTCAATAGTAATGCTTGACATCCTCATTGCTACCCCTAGAGGTCTTCAAAATTCAAAGCCATTTAATCTCGGAACACGCGATTTTTACCTCACATCAACGACAGAGCTAGACGTGCTGACTACAATGGTGCATATTGTTCCGATACACATTCGTAACTATGATTGACAGGGGTGTACAAAGGCATGTCGTTGACCCGGATCCTTACGATTATTTTAACTCAGACCGGTGGTAGTGTTTGGGATGCTGATATAGATAATGCATCTCATGTTGGCCAACATTCGAAACTATGACCGTTAGAGATGTGCGAAGTTCAAAGCAGTCGCACCGGACCCTTAAGATTTTCTCAAACTGATCAACGGCATCATTTGACATGCTGTTTATTATCGGGCAGCTCGTTTCGAGGCAAAGTCAAGGCCATCACCGCCAGGGATGGTGACGTCACGAGTCCGGACTCCCATGGTTGTGGTTAAATAGATACCTCTAGTAGTGTTAAACATGCTGATTACGATACAGCATCTCGTTTCCAATGGTATTCATGATTACGACCGAAAGAGATGCATAAAGTTATAGGTTATGGTCCCGGATCCGCACGATCATTTTAAAACTGAGATCATTGGTAGTGTTTGAAATGCTAATAACGATGCTGCATCTCATTCTGATACACATTTAACATTATGACAGAAGCGCACGACGTTTAAGGCCGTTGCACCTGTACTCCCACGATTTTTCTCAAACTAATATCAGCGGTAGTGTTTAACATACTGATCACGATAGTGCACCTCGTTTTGAACCACACTCCAAATTACGACGTTCAGATATCTTTAAAATGTACTGTTACTCAGCCGCACCGACACGACGCTGTTCGAATTCACACCACTCGTAATGCTAAACATAATGATGATAGCGCGTCTCTTTTTCCGCCACGTTCCATCAATGACAGAGTTTGGCATGCTGATTACGATGGTGCATACCGTTTCAGCCACATTTAAAACGATGGTCGTCGGTAGGGTGCAAGTTTCAAGATCGTTTTACCTTGACCACTACAATATTTCTCAAACGGAATCCATGGTAACGTTTGACGCGTTCGTCATAAAAGCACATCGTGTTTCGACGCACATTCAAGACTATGAACGCCAGAGATGTCAAAAATATGAATTCACATGCACAAACTCTCATGATTTTAGCCAAGTGCATACCAGTGCATTATTGCGGTGGAACAATGGTGCATGATAATGATAACGATGGTGCGTCTCGTTTTTTGCCTCATCCGAAACTATGATTACTACCGGTTTATAAATTCAAAACCATCGAACCAGGGTCCTTACGGTCCTTTTGAAATTGATATCATTGGTTAGGTTTTGACATCCTGATTGAAGTGGTACATATTGATCGATGCAACATTAGAAACTGCACCCTCAACGGGTCATAAAATGTTGAAATCATTGAACCTGAGCAGTATGATGCCCAGTTTCTGGCTTTATTCCTGGAGGTACTTTTAAAATTAAGTTGAATCTCTTCAATGGAGGGATTGGAATGGCTTCGATGGAATGGCTCTTCAGCCTTTGATCGGGAACGATAGTGTGTTACCTAGTGTTCTAATCACGGCCACCTTTGCCCGGTAAGAAATCTCCTAAATATTCAATAGAATGAATCGATATAGGGCCAAAAAATGAAAAAGTCAACCCATGTTTGCCTGCGGATGTTCATCCTTTTGCAGAATCTTCTAAGGAAGCGGATTGCATAAACAAGTTTTAGTCTGCGCGCCCGTAATCTTCGGAGCGAGAATACCGATGGCCGGGTGGCAGTTTCTGTCAAAGCGAAAGACGCTGGCCGCTGCAGGTGACGCCAGGTGGTGGGTGCCGGGCGCACAAGAACGACCGGTAGGTTATAGTACTTTCAGCCCTTTCAAAGGCGATCCGTACAGCTTAAAGATTCAACATGGCCGTATGCTCAAGCTGCATAGTTTTGAGGCTGTCTTCTGGGGCAGTTGGTAGCTATAGCAACACAAAAATACAGATTCTACCTTAACTCCACAACTCCACGAGTTCCACCACCAAATTCCAGCGCCTATTTATCGTGCTGTCAATGTTCATCTGTTCCTATTACCAATAACAGAATCGCACAGATAAAACATACGCTGCGACGCTGTCCTAAATGTACGAACTGAAGTTCAATAAGGCGTTCAGAGGTGCTTTTTTGCAGAGGGCCTCTGGCGACGGCAACGTTGGGCGCCATGGTTTTGGTTTCTCCGAATTGTGAGCGTGAATGTTCAGAATGATGCAGCATATTTTTTTCACAACTCGATTCTAAAGGAAAGTGAATATCTGTGGACGAAGATGGGTTGCCGTTGTGCATTCAAATTGCTTTACTTGGCAGCACGAAAAATAATGTCAATGAATGTGTAGTTTGGAGCCATAACGATGGCGTAAATATAACGTCAATTAATAATGCCAATGTTTTGTCTGCAAGCTACGTTTACAAGGCACTCACTATTTCTGTAAAAAAAACACAAAGAAGTCTGGCAAAACCTCTGAGCTCTATCGGTTTAGAAATAGTCTACTAAGGCACTATCGAAGGAATAGCGCCAGCGATTTATTTCATGAAATCATGTAACGCGGGCTTTCTTCAGTTTATCTGCTGCAAAATACAACCAGAATCGCATCTTTCTGTACCTGCTCGCTGAGTTCCAGTTAAAAAGGTAAGACTAAAAATAAAGCAAAGAAAATCGTGCCCCCGTCAAAATCAAGCGAGCTGAATCGGGTGTTTCTGGGAAAGCCTTTCACCATTAGGGGGCCCTGTGCCCCCCCCCCCCCCCCCCATTTGCCAAGCCTATGGCTGCACCGCTGCGGACAGCGTGGTATTGTCGTGTGTTGCCGAGACGACGTCTGGCGTCTTTCACCTTTCGGTCTGACCACAGCGAGACATTGGTCTGTTTCACAAACAAGACACGTTTGATTGTAGTACAATTATAGAGTTAAAGCCTCTAACTATCGAGCCGCTGATTTTCGCCGCTTGCAAGGCGCAATGAACCGTTTGTCATTTGTGCACTTCCCATATGTCAGTTTGGCTACTCATATCTCCCACCATCTGGTCAATGCAATCTGGGCAATCTGGGCATCCTCGCAAACGGGGTCCGAGTCGATACTACCTGACAGCACGGAATATCGCCACTATTTTATGGACTTAGTTATTAGCTACAGAGAATGTTCCACATTTGAAGATATTGAAGCAAACATCATATCTGGTGAAATAAGGTAACTTATAGTTGTTGGTACATTTTTAAGTGGAAAATACTGCTCCAGACAACACAATTTTTCTATTTAGTAGATATGCTCCTCAATACGTCAGTGTTTGATTACGCCGTCAAACCTTACGCAACATTGATTGACAGCCTACTGACGACCCTCTTGTCTGGAAATCGTGCTCACGAACGTCACACATGAAAGACGACAAATACATTTGTTTTAGATTTGAGCGCGGCATGGCCAATGGAATGACGGATGATTTTGATGCCGCCATGGATGTCTGGGTAACCTTGAAATAGCCTCCCCGAAAAAGTCTCCACATCTTCGTAGCGTGTAGCTCAGAAACTAGAGCAGTTTAGGCCTTAAGAATAGGGAGAAATGTGAAATGCACCAAATGGTCTTCAGGATGGCTATTTCAGTTCAAAGCCCATACAAATGTGGACATGACCTTTAACATCAACCATTAACGGCTACCCCGGATGTACTTTGTGGTTTGTAGTTTCCTCCCTCAACGTTAATGAGAAGTGAGTCAAACTGGGAAGAACCCCGATTTTTGAAT